GGAGGGGAGGGGAGGGGAGGGCCTGGGGTGAGGTTTCACGCCGCCCGATGCGAGAAGGCGGCACGGAGGGACCACGCACGTCGATGGCCTCATTCTTGGCAGCCAGCTGCCGTTCCAAGTCCGCGATCTGGTTGGCTGATGACTCCTCCATTTCCTGCATAGAGTTTTGCAAGTGCTGGATTTCTTTGAGAAGCCGAAGGATTTCCCGGTCCTTGGCAGCGAGAGCCGCCTCAAGCCGTGGCCCCGGGCACAAGGAGTAGTTCACTTTGTCCTGCAAAACAGGAGGTTGAAGGAGGAAGTTAAAACTCCGCAGGGCTAGTTTAACAGCAGAGGGCCTTTCCCAAAGGATACGGGCCTGCCCTGGATCGCGAGTCAACATGTGGAGTGGTCTCGGGAAGTCAAGTGTGGTGCAGGAACTATGCCACATTGGCTGGGGATGCTAGGCACTGCAGTCCAACACAATGAGTTGCAGGAGGCTGGGTTGGGACATCTCCTGGCCCCCCCAAGGCTCCCAGCTCAAGAGCCGAGAACGTCTTAGTGCTTTCCGCAAGCGATTTTGGACCACAGAGTCGGCCCAATTCACACAGGCTGCTTCCTGGGGTCCAGTGACCCTTCGTTCCCCCACCGGCCTCACCCCACTGGGTCCTTGGGGGGAGCAGCAGGCGAGGCGCAAGGAGCTGTTCACCGAGGCAAGCTGCTCCCGCAGGCTCTCGACCTCCCTCTGGGCTGCCTCTGCTCTCTGCAAAGGAAAAGAGCGCAGGCTCACCCTTCTGGCCGTGAATGGGCTTCCACGCAGCCCCCCAGGAGCTCAGGAGCGCCCCCGCCCCCTCCTCACAGTTACCTGGTTGGCTTTCTCGAGGTTCGTCATAATCATGGCCACTTCATCCGTCCTGGGGGAGCAGAGGAAAGACAGCCAGTTACAGCAGGGACGGGGAACCACAGAGCTGGGGCGAGCGGCGGTCCAATCCGTGGCCCTTCTGGAACACGGCCGTTCCCCCTTTACCGTCTGGGGGCGTTTGTCAGTGTGGGACAATCTGCCAGGGTTTAGTTGCTTCCCACCTGCGGTTCCACCTACGTGACCTATCCAGCCATGCTGCCGTGTGCCACTGGCCCTGTTTCGCGTGGAAGGGCAAACATCCAAGGCTTCCACTGGGTCACCTTTTCTAGCCTCAGGCACAGCCACTCGCCAGCTAAATTAAACATCACATAGCTGGGGAAACCTCGCGACACACCCCAAAGAGCCTCTCAGAGGGGAGAGGGGAGCCAACGCCTGGCAGCAGCAGGATCCGTCCTCTGCCCCGCCCGAGTTCCTCCTCCTTTGGAGTGTGGCAGCTACAGTTTTGATCAAAGGCTGTACAATTTGCTGCCTTGCGCTAGGCAAACGGGCACAAGCTGCAGGATCAAAGAACATCTGGCTCGGTGTGATACGACTGAGCATTCTGGCTCTGTTGCATAATAGGATTGTGCAAGTTGGGGCCGCAACAAACATCAGTACACGCAGCGCAATGCTCAAAACAGCTGGAAAAGCACGCACATCTGCTTTGGGTGGCTTTTCCCAACTGGTGCCTGCCAGGAAAAGCACGAGAGGGGGAGGAAGAGACGGTGAGGAAGGCACACCGCCTTGCCAAGGAACAACAGAACGGCACACGACTGAGGAAAATGGGTACAAGCAACTGCATATCTGGTGGAGTACGTGAGATTCCTTGAAGCTCTCCTGGCAACAGACAATTGATGGGAGAACGCCGGAGAGCAGGATCAAGGGAACCAGGTGAGTCTGGCTCCCCCGTCCTTGGAAAAATGCTGAAGGAAGGTGCAGCACTCTGGCCAGCGGCTTGCTGCCCAAAGCACAGCAGGCTGCTTCCAAATTTACGGAAGAAGTCCTGTCCTGCCGAGCCCCCAAAGCTGCCCCCAGGCCTGCAAGTGGAGTTGCCAGCAGACCAGAAGCTAACCTGCTCCTATGCCTCTAGGAGCTGCCCAGTCCGCAGAAGCCAGCAAATGACCAGGAGCATGCAATGCTTTCCCATGGCAACCAGGATCTCTGATCGCACAAGGGGTCTCTCGTGCCGGCCGGCCGGCCCCTCCGGCGGGCTCCAAACCCCGTGCCCTGCTCCTCAAGGAGCTGTGTTTAGGAGCCGTTTCCTGCCAGTGTGAACTTCAGCTGAAGCGCCGTTCCAGGTGCTGCCACCGCCGTGAGCACAGGAGAGGAGTCAAGACGGGGACCTGTGGGTGATGGCACCGAGGCTGGGCAGCTCCGCCTTGACCTCTGGAAATTGACCCGAGTGTAATGTCCGTTCTACTTGGCTGGACCTTGGCTCCCATTTTGCTGTCTGCCGCACCTGCAGTTTTCTGCATTTCCTTGCTTTGCGCTGCTTTTGCACAACAGCAATTGGTTCCTTCTGGGGCAACCTAGGAAGGGCCAAATCTCGCCTGCCTCATCGGCGAGTCCCAGGGCCAACTGCTTGGGGCAGAAAGGAGTTGGCAGGAACATAACGTCCCTTGTCTTTGAGGTCATTTTGAGTGTCTTTAAAAAGCAGCCAGACATCCTGGCCTATAAAAACAAGGTGGACACACAGCAGAGCACCAGAGCACGGAGTGCTCCTATTCAGCACTTCAGCCAGCCAAGCCTTCTTCCAGGCAACTCCAATCCACTTCCGCTCCTCCCCAGTATTCTGTCTCCACCACTCAATACTCAGCAGCAGTGAGGGAAGGTCCCCAACAGCTTTGGCTTCTGCGTGAAGTTTTGTTTGTCCTTGTGTACCTTTTGGTTTCTCCCAAGCCTTCTGAGTGCTTGTGTGCAGGGGCGGGGGGGGGGGCTGCCATTTTGGCTAAACAAACTACACCGCACACAGCCTGAACATGAACATGGGGCATCTCAGTTTTGGGCTGAATGTGAGAAGCAAGCCAACTTACTTGGAAGCAGCCTCTTCGTCATATTTACACCTCAAGTCGACCAGCTCCGTCTGTGTGGCCTTCAGTGCTGACCGGCAGGGAGGAAAGCAAGAGCAGAGGTAAAGACGCGCCGAAGGAAAACAACGGATGAGGCTTCTCCTCCAAAGTCGCACCACGAGGCCCCTCTGAGAAGATCACTCTTGGGAGTAAGAAGCGGCTCTGCCGGCAACTGGACAGGCTCACGGGATGCCGCCTCCGAGGAGTCGGACAGCCGGTCCATCCAGCCCCGTGTTGTCAGCACTGACTGGCAGCAGCGGCTCCCAAGCATCCCGGACCGTCAGCACATGTTCCCCTGCTGAGCTATGGATCTCGGCACGGAGAGCACGATGCTCCCGGCCACATGGACCGTTGGGAAGTCGGGAAGTGAATGCTGCTCCTGTGGCTTGGACAGCGGAGGAGAGGAGACTGCCAGGGGCAGGGTGGGGGTGGGGGGATGATGCAGACAGCTTCAGAGATTTATCAGCTAGGTTAGCATTCTTGGATGCGATGTAGAGGTGCTCCCGATTAACCAGGAAGCAGAGGTTTAAATTTTCAAAACGATTTTTAACAGAATTGGCCATTTTTTTTTAAAGGCAGTCGGCAAGTATTGTTTTATCTTGGGGGAGGCATGCCGTTTTCTGTGTGAGCATGTGGGTGAGAGAGAAAAGACAGAGAATTCTTCTAAGATGATGTGTGATTTCTGTCATGTGTGTACATTATCCACAAAACTAAGAAGCACCCATTTTGCTTTGGAAATAGTTTTTCTGCCTTCTATGTAATCTTCATGCAGACCCAAAAAGATAATTGAGCAATCCATCGCCTAAAGGTGCCATTCTATGCATGCTTAGATAGAAAAAAGTCTGATAGCTCACAACATTTGCATGCTGTCAGTTTTAGGACTTTTTTCCTGTTTGAAAATGCATTAAATTGCTTCCAAAAACCTTACAATTCTATTTATCTATTTGTCCCATTCTACTAAGTATTTTAAAAGTCCTGAAGTGCCTTCCATATCAACATTAAAGTCTTAATTAAAATCACATTTAAAATGCAATATTAAAACAACGCAACACAAAAATAGCAACAGTAATACTGAGCAGTACAGGAACAGTAAAATAAAACAGCATGTTTTAGGAATCATCAACTAAGATCTCTGAACTCATGTATCAGTATTAAGATGATCAGTGCCCATGTGGTGCATTAGCAGCAGAATTATTGGTATTGCCCACCAATTTGCAATGCCTTTTCGTGCGTGCCTGGATGCTTTAATTTATTTTTAATGTAATTGTCCTCGTTGTATTTTCGACAGCACACTTGTGGATTTTACCTGTAAGTTACATTCTGAGCATTTCATTGCTGCTGATGGAGAACAAGAGAGAAGTGCAGAAAATAAAATAACAAGACAGCTGGGAAAGAGTCGGGGGCAAGCCGAGTGTAAGAAAACACAGACGGCAATAAATGAAGCTGGGCAAATGAAGCTTTATCTACTTGGGCTCAGACCTACTTCTCACTGAAGTAGTAAAAGCTAGGTCTAGTCGGTATTACTTCAGACTATCGGTGGCAGTTTGCTTCATTGGTTAATTCATTAGAGGCATGTCCCGCCTTTTTCTTTTTTAAGTGACTCAAAGAGGCTGGCATCGAGACGGTGCTCTCTGAGCGTGCCGCCATCCAAAGGGGGGAAAACGTGCACCTAGAAAGCTGGCTATGGGCGAGCGGGAAGGGCATGGCTGCGATGACTGGGCAAGGCTCTGTCCTGCAACTCTGAAACGGGGGAGCCCGAGCCCAGGCTGGAAGGCCCACCCACCCACTGCCTGCCCGGGCAAAACAGCCCTTTTCCCCTCAGGGCAGCTGGTGCTCACGGAGGTTTAGAGGCAAGGCAGGGGTGGGGACGGGGCCAGGCCCATGTGCCCCGCGGGGGAAGCCCTGGCAGAGAGGCGAGATGGGCAGTCATTTGGAGGGGCAAGAGGCCTCCTGATGGGAGATGAGGGCAGAGTCGGGAGAGGGAGCCTGCCCGGTCGGAAGGCACGCTGGGGGAGCGAGCCCTCCGGAGCGTGCGTCAGGCCACGGAGATCCGCTCGGAGAGCCCCACGCCGAACTTGCCTGCCTACCTGCCCGCCTACCTGAGTGCAGCACGCGGATCTTCTCCTCTGCCTCCCCCAGGCGAGCCGCCAAAGTGATCTGTGCTTCCTGCAGGCCCCTGGAAGAAGAGGAGACCCGCTCAGCCCTCCTGCGCTGCTGCGATGCCCCGTGCTCCCCCCAGAGCAAAGCTGCCAGCCGGCCCTGGTCCGGTGCCTTCCAGGTGTGCCGGATGGCGACTCCTATCTGGGGATGATGGGAGATGTGGCCAACCTGTCTGGAGTTCACCAGGTTGTGAAGGGAACTCTGGTCAGTTGCCAAGCTCAACTTAAGGTAAGAGCTGGGACTGGGAAGGGGCCTACTTCCTTTTCATTTTTCCAATATTTTAACAGTCAGTTAGCTTCATCCTTGATTTTATCATCATTTATCAGATACTTTTATCATTGGGACGGCATATAAAAACTTTAAATAAATAATAAATAAAGTAAATGATCGGATGCAGTGTGTTTTATGTTGTGTGTTGTACATGGTGGCTTTTTAAAAAAAATTTGTAAGCCATCCAGAGACTTTTTAGTATTGGACGGCATATAGCAACTTTAAATAAATAAGTAAATTTCCTCTCACTATGTCTGGCTTCGCCCCTCACACAAACAAGAGTGTAGACTGAATGCAGGTTGTGTTGAATTGTTGGTTGTTGCTGAATCGTGGCTGGCCAGGGGATCGACATGCGCAAAACACGCTCTATGTTTTAGCTATGAGCCATTAACTACAAAGAACCCAACAGAACCCAACAACCAATCCTGGGTTTTCTTTCCGGGTTGTTTTCATTAGCAACCCATAGTTCAACTTGAGGGTAGAGTTCACATGTAACAACAACTCACAATACCCATATACAGCTCACACTCTGGGTTGTCATGTGTGACCTGGGCCCATGAAGCTTTGAGGAAGGAAAGGGGCAGCTGAGTAAATTCTCCCCCACTGGCAGAGCTTTGATTTAGTTTCTGGAAGACCAAGCACAGGCTAGACCTCCTGAGTCCCAGTCAAGCGCTGTTATAAGACAACACACTGGTTCTCATGACCGTTCATACAAGTATTAGCACTCTTCCATTCATAGTCCACTTTTCAGAGCAAAACACTCACACGGTGCATTGCCGCTAAATGAAATATACAACATACACAATCAAAAACAATATTCATATTTCATTGTGCTAACGAATGAAATGGAAAGGCCTTCTCTAAAATTAATGATGACTGGTGGGAATAAAGGAAGACTTTGAGACCCTCAGCGAAAGTCAGCAGAGAGGAGGCTGTGCGCAGTTCCCAAAGGAAGGCATGGCAAAAATGTGGGGCCGCCACAGAAAAAGCCCTGCCAGTTACTTGCCAGTGGTACAGCTTCTGCTGGTGGGCCAGAGGGCAGGACCTCAGTGGGAGCTCGTAAAGCCCAGCTGGGGGCAGGGGGGTTCAGGTGCCCCTTCGGAGGAGCAGGGAACAACATTGTGCAGCTTCACAAAAGGACGGGTGGCTGAGACGGCAGGCGTGAGGCCACCCGGATGCTGGTGATGCCGGGACCCCGGCCCTTCGGCAGGCTCCGCACGGCACTCCCGGCCCCGCTCCCCCCACACCGCGCGAGCTACTCACGTACTTTTGCTTCTCGGCATCATTTCTCTGCAGCAGGGAGTCCGTGAGCAGCACTCTGCTCCGCACGCCGGCGAGCCTCGCCCCCTCCGCGGCCGCGAGCCCCGCCAGAGGCGCCCCCTCTCTGTGCTCTGGGGGGTGCAAAAATCCACATCAGCGGCATGACAGGCCTACGTGGGGGGGGAGGACAGAAGCAGAGGGTGGCGGGAAGGTCTGCGGAGGCCCGGGGACCAACCGCGGTGCGGGATCCCGCGGGCCGCCTCCTGGCTCGGGGCCTCCTGGGAGCCCTCCGGCTCCACGTGGCGGGGACGGTCCTCCCGGTGGGCGGGGGCGCATGGAGGGGCCTCGCCGATGCCCCGCGGGGCGCCACGCGGCCCGGCCTGCCCTCTGCACCGCTCCGGCGCCCCTCCCCCCGCCTGCTCAGTCCTCGTCCATCATTTGCAGGCAGAAAGCGGACCTGCGGCCCTTTCCGGGGGGCAGACGGTCTTCCCGGGAAGCTGCACTCTGCCCTCACCCCACGGGCCCAGAGCTGCCCCACAGCCCCACGGCGAGCGCTGTACCTTTCGGGCCCGGGTGCTCGGCGCTCCTCCGCCACAGCCTGTTCAGCTCCTTCAGCGGCGGGCTCTCGGGGCCGAGGCAGTGCAGCTGCTGGCGCCAGTCCTCGCGGCTCCGTGCCGCCTCGAGCACAGGAACAGGATCTGGCCGGGGAGCAGAGGAGCCGGGCGGGGGTCAGCACACGGCCCGACCCTCCCGCCCTGCAGCTCCGTGGGGGGGCACTCGCTCCTAATGCTCCGCGGGGCAGAACCGGCTGCCCTCTCACGGCCCCCCCATCGCGCATCCTTCTGCACCCGACTGCCCGCTCCCCTGCGCTCCCGAGCTCCGCAGGCCGGACGTCACAGGCAAGGCGGCTGCCGGGAGCATCTCCTGCCCAGCAGTGGTGGGGCGTCCCAGGACAGCTCCCTCCGAAGGATGTGAGGGAAAGGGAGGGCCCCCTGCCCGCTCGGAGGGACACCGGGCTCTGCAAGCGGCCATCGCCCGACACTTGGACACGCCGGGGCCACTAAATGCCCAAACGCCCCAGCCTGGAGGCCAGGAGAGGGTCTGCAGCTTTGCTCTCCCACACAGGCCATGCCGTGAGAGTTCCTGCAGGCGAGCTTCCTATATTTAAAACACTGTTTTTCTTGTTCTTTAAAGATAAAAGATCCAGGAAACACACGCCGCAACTTAACTATTAATCCACTTGGGGTGCTTCCAGTTGAGGAATTAAGCTGCGGGTTTCGCTACCACATCTGGGGGTGTCTTCTACTGCAGCCCTCCCCTGTTTACCTATCACTTCTGTTCATCCTTCTTTTATCAGAAAAAAACCCCTGCACTAAGGAGGACACCCCGGGGCCAGGAGTGCCCTTAAGCAGGGCGAAGCAAAAAGGGATCCGCACGAGGAGGAGAAGACGTGTTTGCCTCACCTTGCTCTCTTGGTAACATTGCATTTCCCCCCCAGTCTGTTTTGCCTTTGCCCCTGCCGGCCACGGGAACACAGCCCCCCAAACCTTCCGCAAAAGGGGCCGAGCCCGGGGCCTGAAAGAGGCCCGGCCTCGGGTGGTCCGTGGCTGGAAACACGAGCGGGGATGGGGACACTCCCCGGCTCAACATCCCACGCTTCCGCAGAGCCCACGATGGAGCCGCCCCACACCAGGAGGAAGGGCCAGGAGGAGGAGGGCCGGCTGGGAAGGACAAAGGGCTGGCTGCGCCCGGCACACGGCCGCGCTGACCCAGCGCACGCAAGGCCCGTGCGAGGCGCGTGTGGCACGTCTGTCCGAGGATGCCCCCCCCCGCCCGCCGGCCCCGCCACCATCCAAGGCATGTCGTGCCAGTTGCGCCAGTTTGCTCGGGCGGCAGCGGCGGGCGAGGCAGCAGCCATTTCCGCGGAGGCCAGCAGGTGCCTTCCAAGCAGGCCGCCCGCGTCTCCGTCAGCGGCAACACGCTGTCATTAGCCGGAGCCCGCTCGGCAGGGGGGCAGCATTATGCCTCCCAGGGCCAATGTAATTATACATTGACATAATTAACCCAGCAAGCCCATTAGGAAGGCCAGCTAAAAAATTCATCTATAATTATTTGTTGTGTGCATGCTAATGAGTCCATCTGCACTGCCATTGTACAACACGAACAAATTAATTTACAAGTCTGGATCCTTTTTAATAAGTTCAGGAAAATGGCTCCTATTGTACGAAGCCCGTGTTTTTCCTTCTCTGCCTTTCTCCTCCACCTGTCCCCTCCCCTCCCCGCCTTTTTGAGGAACAGGGAGAAAGGAGAACCAACATTTTTAGGGTCAAAAATTAAGTAAACGTGCGAGTGCCTGGCTGAAGCGCCCCTTTCTTGGTAAAACAGCAGATGAGCCTGGAATAGGCGAATCCGCGCCTACTCTGCCAAAGCGATGGTACCCCTGCCAGAGTAATTACAGGCAGGGGAAATCGAAGGGGCGCATCCTGCACCCTCCGTCTCGATGCGGGAGCATCTGCCAAGGATCGCCTGACTGCCCGAGGGGCGGAAACTTCCGGAAAAAAGGCCAGGCTCCACGAGGTGACTGGTTTTCCCAGAAAGGACCTGCCAGCCACCATTTGGCCACCGTCAAAACAGAGGCGACAAGAGGACGCCTATTTACATAAAATCTGCATAGGCTAATTTATATGCGGATATACACGCTTCGAAAGAGCTGTCATCGTTAGGACTGTAGCTAGGGATGGTGCCATTTCGCCCCCACGTGAGGGTGGACAGACTGATGCCCGGGGGCCGCCGAGGGGCGCCGGCCGTGAGGGCCTTCCATCCTCGGACTTCCGGTTATAGGCAGTCCTCTGTACACGGAGGACACTTGGCTTCCCCGCCATGAACAACACGGCTCGGGCTTCTCCCTCCCATGCCAGGCTCTGCTGGGGGCAAGGAAACAAACGGGCTGGGTTCACATGTAGCAACAACCTACCCTGGCGATAAGCCAGAGTGGGTTGGTTATTGCCGGGCTAACCCAGGTGCACCCAATGGACCATTCGCGTCACCCCAGGCTGAAGCACCGGGATGCTTTGGCTGAGGGGGTGATGATGTCACCTCCCCCCCCCATCTCCCTGTGAGTTGAGCTGTAATCCCCAGAATAGCTTGGGGTCGCGGGACGGATCATACCCCCAGTGCAAGGCCTCACTCGGCTGAGCAGGTCTTAGTCCGTGGGAGCTGAATGGACGCAAACGGACTGGAACGAGCTGCTTTCTCCCGCGCTGGACCACAGGGCCAGGTGGCTCCGTGGTGCCGTCGCTGATGGGCAAAACTGCAATTCATCTTTATGCGTACAATAAAGAGGAGCTCCACGGGAACACCCTCCCGGAGGAGGCGGGACAGGCGCCGACTGGTTTTTCAGTGTCAAATTAAGGCGTTCCTTTTTGCCCAAGCATTTCAAAATTTTAGATTAAACCTATTTTTTAAAAAAAATTGATAGTTCCGTTTTTAATTGATGTGCTGGTTGTGGTTGCCTTTTCCTCCTTTTGTTGCCTTTTAATTTGTGATTACATGGTTTTTATAATGGATATATTTTTTTAATCCCACCCTGGGATCCTTACCGGAGGAAAGGCGATTTATCAATTGAAATATATAACTAAATGAACTAGATCAATAAACCCGCTAGAGCCACAAACTCTGTGAATGGCCTTAAGCAAGCGATAATCTCTGAGCCTCCCTTGCAAGCCACGATGTTAGTGCAGGAGATAATATTATTACGGCCCGACCCTGAAGGGTTGTTGGGCGTTTCCACGGATTATTGAGGCCACGGATGGGACGTGCTTGGGACGCGCTCTAGCGCGACATACACGTGAGTGGCACAGAGGCCCACGCTTCAACCACGTGAGACTCTCGGGCTGCCGGGAAACCTTTCTGTCCTTCGTAAAAGGGTGAGCTAGCGAAGGAATGGCGGATGGCTTCCGCCTCGCCCTGGCGGAGCGGCTGCGGAAGCGGGCTTTCCTCTCGCAGCCTGCCACACATTAGCCACTGAAAGCAACTCCCAGAAACTGGAAGGCAATAAATTCAGAGCCAATAAAAAGGGCAGCTGTGTCTTTTGCCCGGCTTATGATCCACCTGTTGGGTTCCCAGCTGCGATGGATCGTCAGTGGGAGACTCCGAGCGTAGCTGGGTTTAAAGAGTGGGGGGCGGGGGCCGGGGATAAAGGACTGGATAACTTTACAGCCATTAATAACATTTGCAGCTATGCAAGCTAAGATAACGATATGGGTAATTAAACCTCACGCTTCAGGGTGCGAGCTGATGAGACTGCGCAGACCAAGAATTCCCAGCCTGCGCACGACAGCTAGGTGGACGGGCAAAACTCGCCGCGTGTAATTTTTGCCTATGGCTAGCACGGCTGGAGTCCGGCGGAGGTCGCTGGACGAGGCTTGCTGAGCATCGCTTCCGGCTCATTCACGGAACTGTGCAGGGCTCCAGGCAACGGCCTTTTCCACTTGTCACCTTCCGAGTTCACCTGCCACGATCGCCATTTTTTTCTGCTTTGCACCTCATGCCTGCTTGCGGGGGGAGGGGGAGCGGGCTGGGGGCCCGGGGTCTCCGTCTGGGGGCTCTCACTGTGGCAGTGTCGCCCAGTAAATTCGGCAGTGGATGGTTCAGCACTAGCAAAAGGAAGTGCGTCGAAGGAAGCACGTAATGCAGAATTGACGGGCAGAATTCGTTGCAGCAAGACGTGGTGATGGATGTGAACGCTCCTTCCTCCCACCTCCGTGTTGTCCCAACTAGATCAGCAGTCTAATGAAAAATGCAGGGCAGGAGGACCTTTGTGGCGCCCAGAGGCCGCCCCCTCCTGCTCTGCACAGTGCGGCCGTGAGCCTCCAAGATACGGTGCCTGTAATGGCGCCGCACCCTAAATGAGTCCCCTGAAGAGGCGAAGACAGACTAAGCCAAAGCACGTTCGCTGGCTAGGTACTCTGCAAGAGAAATTAACAGAGGAGGAGAGATCTGTGCTGTTTGCTATGGAAGCTCAATAGAACCTCCATGTTCAGAGGCAGGATATCGGAGGGTCATCTTTGTGCCTTGGTTGTGACTTCCTCAAAGGCATGGAGCCAACATGTGTGGAAAGAACAGCAAACTCAAAGTGCCTTTGGTGGAGTGAGCTGCACCAAAGGAATATTAAGTAACACTCTGGCCCGGCAGTGGGCAGACCTCCGGCTTGTGTGATCTACTTGGCCGCCTTTTGATTAGAAACTCAAGGTACGTGACGTGCAGCAGGATGCAAACAAGACGTGGGGCTGGTGTGAGTGGGGGAATACCGAGCATTAAGGAAGTCGGATCACGTGCTCAGCCCAGGAATTAATTTTCATAGCAAGCTGTTCAGAGGCGTGTCTTCCGCCCAGCTCGAGAGTGCTCACTTTACCAAGGCAGGCCAGAGCACACGGCCTTTTGGTCTGTCGGTCAGCTGCAGCGCTGGGAATACTTGGCCGAACGTATTTTAATACCTTTTCTTCGTGAAACTCCGAGAGATCTCTTGAAGCCGTACATTCGCTCTTGCCCACCTTCGCTTTCTTCATTTCTGGCATGCATCCCAGGCCTCGAGAAGGAAGCAGGGGCCATCCCAGCCTGCCTGGGTCTTCCAGGACTTCAGTCCAACGGTGCACGCGAGCCAGGGAGCGGAAGCTGCAGCCCTCCAGGCCCTGCTGGACTCCATCTCCCACCAGTCCCAGCCAGAAGGAGCAGCGATTGAGGGTGTGGGAGTTGTAGTTCAGTGTTTGGAGGACCACAGGTTTGTCACTCCTACTGTGGGGGCCACCCGAGACCCCTCAGAGAGCCCGTGGGGGGTTAAATGAGTGGCTGCTCTGTATTGCTTCTAGATGGCTGATGGGAAAAGGTGCCTGCTTTGCTGCCCTTCTCCTTTCTTCTCCCTTTGGGGCTACTTCCTTGGTTACACTGATACTGGGAAACCCGAACAGACCAACTAATAAGTACTGGAAAGTCAAACTGGGGAAGCCCCTGGACAACGAACAATTGATTTAATTTTATTGCGTTCAGTGGAAAACTCACAAGAGAGCAGCTGATTATTGTTTTTAATCACAGCAAAAGAAATCCTTGACAAAACCCCGAGAAACTCTGCCGCTTAAAAACACGAACTGCTGATTTGAAATGCAGCCACGAGGGGGCGCTGTTGACCCCCTGTTCACCGCCCACAATTTTCCCCGGGAGCAGATTTCAGACCAAGCAGGAAAGGTACGGGGAGACCGTTTCCCGCTCTGTTCATTTCAGGCTTTGGGACCGTATACTATTGACTCTGCGTGGCTTCCAGGTAAAACAGATAAAATGCTTAAAGACAGGTGGACGAAAGGGAAATAAAACGCCTTCAGACACCATGCTGCAACGGAGCAGACAAGCGCCAGGTCCAGCGGACCCCGTTTCAGTCTCTGGGCCTCATTCTGGCACACATCTGAGGGTCTTCAAACAGAATAGTGCAATGCGTGCTTTTTGAGGGGGCTCACCGAGACGTTTGGGGGTCGAGGTCTCTTGGATATATTTGCTGCTTGGAGGTCTTGGGCTCCAGGGGCTACCTGCAAGTCCTCAGAGCCCTTCCACACCTGCAACCCAGGGCCGGGCAGAAGGTAGACCTCAGGAAGGTCTGCAGAGCATCCGCACGCGTTTCCTGGTTGTCGGGCAACAGCCGTAACAAGAAGACTCTTCAACGCCACTAAATGGAGCAAGCGGGGCTCCTCCCCCGCCCCGCCTGCAGGAGAAGGGGCCCCTGGCCACCCTAGCAAGTGCCTCTGCAGGCAACCGCACGGCGCCAGGCCAAGAGGCCATGTGGGTCCTTCCAGAATGCACAGCACTGGGGAAGAGAGGAGAGAGCAGCCGCTGCTTTCTGCTTTCCCTGAATTCACCTCTCTTTTTACATACAAATCCACCCCTGGCTTCGCCCCAGGCGTTCTTTTTCAGCCGGCTTTCTGGTTTTTCTCCCCAGAGGGTGAGAGGGTGGGGGTGAAAACTTTCCGGTTGTTGCTCATGTTAGATAATTGGGAGTCAGAAACTCTTGTCCATCTGCTGCAACTCACACCGAAATCTACCAGTAGATCCAAACCCACCTTCTGCTCACCTGATCTAAGGCGAGTATTCGGCAATTCGAACTCACTGCAAATCTTATTTGATCTCCCTGCCAAGCTCCAAGTTTTCATGGGGTGACTCCCACAAACATTTGCAAGCAGGTCATGACTGTCTTGAGGTCTAGCAACTTGAGGTCTCCACAAAGTGCAACCTTGCACCCAAAGCCACACATTTTCATGCTTTCCGCAGACTGCCAGCCCTGCCCTTACACACCAAATCACTTTTTCTAAGGCACATGTGTAAGGGGCTTGTTGCACCTCAAACACAATGAAGAAATCAGCCATCACCGCTGCCTAAGTCAAACAGAAGGCTTAAATCAATCCATTCTCAAAAACAATGGCATTAATTATGTTTTTAGCATGATTTCACTGCTTCCCTCCACCACTACCCCCTTCCCGGCCCAAGACAGTGACACATGGAGGCCCATCCCGCTTCTCCCTGCCACATCTGCGTGAACAATATCAGAAAGATTTACGATATCTTTTTCTTCCCTTAATTACAGACACACAAGCTCAGGCCCACTTTATCAAAATACTTGCTGAGCAATCACGCTTTCTCGCCGCTTGCGGTTTGCACTGACAGAAGCCACTCAAAACAAAGAAGGAACCATTAACAGTGTCAAATCAGGAGCCTGTTCTTTGCACCTGAACTCCTCTGCGAAGAACACGCGGTTGCAGGAGGTGCGCAGGTGCCCCGCCTGCCGGGAAGCTTCCCTCTTCCCACAGCGAGGAGGGGAGTCTGCTGAGAACTGGCACGGGGTTCTTGCTGGCCGCCCCTAAAACGCAGCTCCCAGGCTCTGACTGCGGGATGAAATTTAATGAGTGCCGTGGGACAGCGAGAGAGGCACGCTCAGCCCGGCTGAATTTCCCCAAGAAACTATTCAACTTATTTTGTAGCCGCATTCTTAAACGGATGGGAAATGGATTGATGCCACGCAGAAGCTGTCTCCGAGGTCTCCGGTGGCTAGGAGCTGTGCCGAGTCAGCACGGTGGCACCTAAACGGGGCAGGTCTGGTCCCACTAGAAAGGAGCGATTAAAGGGCCTTCCTGATTGGGACTGCTAATGGCCAAATCTGGGCACCGATCCAGAGCACGCCTTTTCTCCTCCCAGGGAGCGTGTCCTTGCGGCAGGCACGGAAGCCGAGGTGCAGCAGGGGCTGATCGGGAATGAAAACTGCTCGGCTGCATGGACTCGATGCACAGACCGGCCGATCCGGAGGTGCCGTGCGCCCACACCTGCCTGCACCCAGAGGGTCTCCCGGGTCCAAACGGACCGCTCTCAGATTGGGCGAGGCACCAGTCCCAGGCCCTGTGGCCAAGCAGGTGCTTTGCACGCGGAAGGACCAACATCTGGTCCTCAGCATCTCTGGGGGGGCGGGGGGGGGGCAAAGCCGGTGGCAGCAATACTGGGCCAGACGGAGCCCAGGTCTGCCCCACAAGCAGCAACCTAGCTCTCGGGTCCCCTGGCACACTCGCCTCCCTTCAGCTCTGCGCTGCCGGAGATCCTGGTCTTCTCACTCCTCAGGCTCACAATGCCTGAGCTCCTGGCTCCTCAGAAACCTCATGCTTCTTAATAACTACATCTTTGTTTAATAAAAAAGAGCCTCAGAGGAGCATACAAAGATGCATAAAGGGAGCAGAACACAGGAATCCATGTCAGAATCAACAACCCACCCGCCCATACCCACACATTCATACACGCACGCATGCACGCACGCCAAAAGAATCGAGAAAGCGACAACATAAAAGGGTCCACAGTCTCACTAACAAAACTAGTCTTTCTAAGCAGGTATTCTGACTCTTTTGACTAAAACAGCACTGCATCAACCAAAGTAATTAACTGGAGCTATTTTTTTCTTAGAGCCATTTCTGTTAATTTCTCTGTATGTGCCACTTCGCGCATTTGCTTTCTGAAAATACTTCAGGCTCTCTTTTGGAAATCCCCAAATATTTCTAGTATATCTGAGTGGCCCATGAAAATCGACTGACGTCTCCCTTAAGGAGTTTGTCTCCTAGAAATCTGAGAGGCTGTCCTGTCACCCTGAAGAATCTGAGGATTGCCAGGCCAGAGTTGGTGCACACATGTGCAAAAACAAAAAAGTTAAAAAGAATGTATATACATGGACCTGCAATATTTAGGTTGATTATATCAGTTGACTTAATTAACCAGAAGTTCCACCCCAATTTCAAAACAAAGGAAGACCCATTTAGCCCCCCTCTGGCTTCTGAGATTAAATCAGGTATATCTCACCTGTTTGCCAGCTTATCTTTGCAGCCATGAGGACTAGTAAGTTGTTTTCTCCCAAGATTTCAAATTCCGAACTCTGGGCTTGCAAGTTGCAAGGTAGAGGACTGAATGCACATCACCCTGCTTATATTTCTAAAATCCTTTAGCGAAACGCGCACAAATGCTACTCACAATGAGGAACACCTGAGAGGTCTGGCCATATGCACTGGAATTCTTCTGAACCCACCCCCAATCCCATCAAATCTAAATTCCATTGTCTGCCCCTTTGCTGGGAAGGGAGTTCAGTCATCTCGGTTAACTCACCGTCAAAGAGACAAGCACGGATCACTGCAGCGTTATTACAAGGCGTGAGCAAATGTATTCCTTTTTTATTGTCAAGATAGATTTGGCTCAGGCACTGAAATACAGCGATAGCAAAAGATGTTTCTACTTGTCTGTTGCGCCGCACTTCAAACAGGAACACAGGGGATGCCAGCTCGCCACGAAGAGAGCCGATAGGCGCGGCCAACACAACGGAGCAAATGATGTCGGTAGAACACGTATGCTCGGCGCTGAAATCCATCAGTCAAAACCGACACAAATTTCTGTGCCAGGAAAAGCCCAATCTTATTAGGAGGGCTGAAAACTTTAATTGACGAAGGGAGATCCCTGCTTAACGGGGCAGCCTCCCTTTTCCAGAGCTTAATTGTTGTTAATACAGTTTGTAGACAAACAGCAGGCCCCATCTTGGAAGAAGTGTTCCCGGCACACACGTACATACTTGTAAGATGGAATACCTCTTCTGCAACGGTGCATGCTGTGGCATATACACAATAAAGTTGGCATTTTCCTGCAGAACTAGGGTTTCACTCAAGAAAAAGTGATGCAGACTGATGCCCACTGCTTCAAGGATATATTCAGCATCATAGGGACTAGCGACATGCTTTAAAAACAAATGAAATTAAGAGATGCCCAATCTGGACCAAATTTCTCATTCGCTCCCTGCTGTGTAACCTCAAAACAGGAGGCGAGGACATCTTCTACAGGGCAAAGTCTCGTCCCTTTTCCGACATCATTTCCGGAGAGGGCAGCTTTGCAAAATCTATGGGCAGGTGCATAAAGAGCTGCAAAATGCAGGTTCCTACTTCATGTTGTCACTGCATGAAAAGAGCATGAAGGCCCTAGCAGGCATCTTTCCCTTGCATTGTCTGCGAGCAAAGGCTTCCGGGAGATCACCACGGAACACTCCGAACAATAATTCCCCCCCTTTTAATCAATTCTGCGAATGAAGCCGAGGCCTTCCATACCTGGCGCTTCGATTAATTGCTTGTAAACACTCAGGAACGCCGCCTCTGCTTCCTTGCTTCTTTTACTAAGAGCAACCACCTGAGGGGAACATAAAAAACAAAACAAAACAGCAATACAGAAGCAATCAAGGAGAAGATACTATCTTGTATAAAACCTGCGCTCGGTTAAGACATCACAGATCTCGAGTCCGCAAGGGGAAATTGCCCAAAACTCCTCGGTGCTGTTTACCAGAGATGGCCCAAGATACGTGGGTGCCTGTGGCAGAAAATTAAAAAGGCCCCTTCCTTAAGTTGGTAGGAAGGCATCAGACACTGGTGGCTTCGCTCGGCAGTTGGGGAATCAGGGAGGTTCAAACCACTTCCCAGTCACAACACTTGCCGCACGACCTGGGCCAAACGTCACCTTTTAACCACGCCTACCTCGCAGGGTTGTTGAGAAGATGGAAGGTCAGAGGACAGGGGAAGAACCCTGCCTGCCTCCAAGACGGACTGCAACGGAGCATGGGTGCGAATACCATTACATGAAACGGCACTCTCCGGCACTCAGAAACTTATCTGGAACTCTCGCCCGTGAGGCTCTTGCTTTTGGCTAGGCAAGGATGCCACCTTGCCGGAGGTGGTCCAGCATTATTTTGCCTTGTATCACCTGATGCTGGCGAAGAATCCTGTGGCTGTGGGTGAGGTGAGCTATCTGCAGAGCTCCTCTGTCCTGTCTGCTCTCGCATCTTGTCTGGCCTGCTATGGGCCTCGGGCTGCTGGGCTGATGCATGAGGGCTGCGCTTCCTTCGATGTTAGCTCACCGCCACTCACCCCGTGTAAGAGATGCAACCCTAAATCCCACAGGCCATAGGAATATTTTCGGCTAGCCATGTTCTTTTCAAAAATGCCCGAGCCCCTCCCGTTTTCCAGAGATCAACTTGAAAACAAAACAGCAAGAAAAATGAGGAAAGCAGAATGCCCCCCCCCCCCGCACTTTTTAAAAGAAGCCCAACTGAACGTTCCCTTTATACACAATGCCAGGGCCGTTTCTGGGAGTCGGTGAGGAGGCAACGAGTCAATAAAACCACCCGCCGTGTGGCCCGGACCTGTGAAAAGCATGAGCCATGTGCTCTGTGAGGAAGGCTTTGGCCGAGAAAGTCTTGTGGGGCAGCCCGTTTGTGAGGTCCCAAGCAGCCTCTGCCAGCACGTCAGGGCTGGGCTGTGCTGGGCACAGGCCACCCTCTGTCTCCGCGAGTCCCACCCTTCTCTCTGCAGCCAGGGGCTTCAGCAAACTCACACTCCAAATGTGAGCTGCACTTCAGCTCTGTCCCCCAGCTGCCATTCAAACTGGCAGGTAGACCCGAGAAATAATTAATTAATAATAATTAATGTCAGACATGCAGACTGTCCCCCCCGTCCCATCAACCCTTCCCTAATAGCTGGGGGCAAGTGTGTGCGTGTGTGTTTGCGGGGTGGCCACAAGACCACACACACTCAATGCCACGCCACGCCACGCCAGCAGCACTGGAATCCCTCCAGGGCTCTAACGGGGCCACCGTTCTGTGGATCGCCCAGCGTGGTCAATGGTGCAACATCAAAAAAAAGATCCATATAATCGCAGTTTGCTTTGCCATAGAGCGGGGAGACTATGGCCGGGCGACGCACAGCTCTGTCTGCTATTTGGTTCCAACTCTGGATAGGGCCGGGGTTGGGGCTGGGTTGGGGTTGGCCAAAGGTAATCTGTGGCAGGCGAACCAAAGCCTGCAAAACATTCTTCCACCACCAGCTCCACATACAGAGTCAATCCTCGTCGTATCCAGGCCAGCCTAGACAAAAGCCCATTGATCAGTGCCAACAGACCTGGCCTGGACGGACCGGGGTCTGGCTCCCTGGACTTTCATAACCCTGGAGGCCTGTGCAGCCATCCTGACCTTAGGCACGATGGAGGTGTCCCCCATGGCCTCACCCACCCCCCGTTAAAACCGATCAAGACGGTCACCGCCACCTCTTGCGGTCAAGAATCCTGCAGCAGCTGAGCAGAGAAATGCCTCTGGCTTCCCCTGCTGAATCTCCAGGCAGGCAGATGTGTGCGCCCCCCCCCCCGCTGGGTTCCAGCGTCAAGAGGGACTCACCGTCCCCTGCCGCCATGAAGAGAGCCGCGCTGTGCTTGGCCCACCCTGCAATCCCCTCCTGCAAGCTGGGTGCCTTTTATCCATCACGACTAACCATCACGGAGGCACCTCTCTGACGCCACGGAGTCTTCTTATGCACAAGTGAGGCCACCTGGGTCAGCAAATTCCATCCTCTGGTTACGGTCTGTGTGGAGGAAGCCCTCTGTTTGTGAGCCCCGAAATGATGCCTGTTCAGCTAACATTATACATACTTTGGCTTATATTCCTCTGCGACAACAATCCGGCTAGTTCAAGATCTAGCAAGAAGTTTCAAGAGAGAAACGCTGCACAGCCAGACTTCAGTACAGTTCAGTATCCGAAGCATCCCTTTCCGTGCCTAACGGCTCCTGAACTTGATGCAAATTGAACGAAGGTGCAACCTTCAGCCCATTTGCCCGTCTCTGCCCAGTGCAGCATTCAAAACTGTGCCCGCTGCCTTCGGCAAAATTTGTAATGCTCCTGTAATGTAGTGCCGTCATAAATCTTTGATGCACTCCGAGTAAATAAAAATTATAATTTAATGCTGAGGTTTAAATAAAAAATCAAATTCTACCCCTTTGTTTCAAAGGTGTGTGTGTGTGGGGGGGGGGGGTCCTAAGAGATGGATGCCTGTTTCTTCTCAATTCACGAGAAAAGCTGCTACCGTCACCAAGAGTGTTAGGTATGGAAAACACATTTTTCTTTCTCTGCTACTTTAGAGAATACAGTTGTCTTCTGACGACAGGCTTAATGTCTTCAGGAAGACCCCGACAGAACGAGGGCGCACGCACACACACACACAAGATCACCCTCATTTGCATGCCAAGACCCACAGCGACCCCCATGCCTCAGTGATCCTTATGTTACTCTCCTGCAGTCAAATGCCATTGCACTGAGCCCCCTCTGCAGACCCCTCACCTTCTTCTGACTGTGCTCCCCTTATTTCGTCATCCACTGCCCAGCTGCTGGGCCCACGTGACTCAGAATCTATCAAACACTCTGTGTATGTTCTAAAAGCTTGTAGTTGGCGGTGAGAACTGCTTCCCAGTAGCCTGCTGTCATAAGTCACTGCAGGGGTCCTGGGTGATCTTTCAATAAAACTGCTGAAGTCCAAGGCGAAAGGGGTCTTTCCTGACTGAACCCGGGTATCCTCGTCGCAGCTGCCATCAAGGCTTCCCGGCAGTAGCCTTCCGTCTGACTTGGCAGGACAGTTCTTAGAAAGCGAGTGGAGAGATTCCAGGGCTTCTAGAAACTGCCTGAAATGGAGAAGGGCACGGGATAAGGCAGATGAGAACACGGGACGGACAATATTTCTCATCGGTCTGTTCCGTTCTCCCTTTCTCCACGTCAGCTCTTAAAAAGCACCTGCAGGCTCTTTCTTAACGTCTGAAGTCAGTTTTTGCCCCCCTGCTAAGGGCAAGGCTACACCAGTGCGCTTGCGTTGCTCCTGCTCGTTTAAGAATTATGTACTACACTTAACCTCGCAGTGTCCCTATGCAAAAACCCACGGATATTTCCCAGCTCCATCGGACTCCAGCTGTAATTAAAGCTTTCTTTGGAACTTTGGCCAGGAATGTTGTGAGTTGGTCCTGATGGATTTGCCACCCAGCCCTTGCCCAAGTCAGAGAAATGTCACCTGTCACCGGTCGGTTTTCGCAGGGGCAGGAAGACGGGGGGAAAGCGCCGCATGAAACCAGGCGGCACAGCAAGACACAGGAGGAAGACAAATGTCCCCTTCTACAAAAGAACTTGGGTGTGTACGCACCTCGAAAGCTGTCTGATTTATCACAGTTATGAATACTGAAATGACGCTCTGGGGAGAGTGAAGCAGAGGAAGTCGGCCGGGCGGGGGGCAGGGCGCGCAGCGGGGGCAGCTGCACGTCTTGCACAACCGCACCGAGGCTGGCAAGAGCAGCAGGCGTGTTGCCGACAGCCAAGCCGAGTGGGTCGCACGGCCCGTTTGTGCACCCGCGTCTGAACCCAGTGGGGTCTGTTTTCCAATACTTTGGGAACCCTCCGAACAGCATCACTTCCCTTCGCTGCTCCTCCGACCCCAGCATTTGCCGCAGTAGATCAGAAGAGAGCCATCACGTCAGCCGCCAACAGTTAAAAGAACACAACTGCATCACTGCCAGGGTCAGCTCATTGAAATGCGCTCGGACAAGCCAGAGGCAGACCGTGGCAGAAATCCACCACACTGGAGTCGTGTTATGTTTGCATGCTGCCAGGTCTTGGGAATGCTCTAAAACCTCAGCCTCCTCGCCCGCTGCAACAGAATAACGCTCTGAAATAGGACTGTGGTGCAAGATGTGCAGGCAGGAAGCACTCACCGAGCTGGCCAGGGTCCAGTCCTGCTTCGATCCCCACCCCCCCAGCCCCACCCTGGCTGGCTCCACCAGCCACACGCCCAAGTGATCCCGGGGCCATGCCAAAAAAGTAAAGAAGAATTTCCAGAGGGAGACCTGTGCTGCTCGGAGAGGTGAAAACAACGCACCTTGTGCACCTCCAAGACTAACGAAGGCTTCATGGCAGAGGCACAATGGATGTGTCAGTTTTGGGTGCAGCTGAAGATTTTAGCTGTTTTTAGAAAGGCCCCGCCAGACTTTCAGAGTGGTGAGTAGGCTCTGAGTGCGCCTGGGCAAGACTCCCCGAGCAGGGCTGCTGCTTCCACTGGCCTCGACACTCGCTGCTCTGCTCCTCCCCTGCTTGCTTGTCTCTGCTGCCACTGGTTGGCTTGCAAGGCAACCAACCTGGGAACAGGTGGACAGTGGCCATTCCTTGCCTTTTCTCTCCTGCTGCCGCCACAGATCTCTGGACCAGAACAGGGGGCCAGCAAAGGAGGCGGCCAGAGTGGCTAAGGATGGGGCAGCTCCAGGGGAACTTGCCCGTGGCCCCCGCAGGGGTGTGGGCCCTCCGAAGGTGGCCGCCCTGCCTGCCCCAGGTGCCGGCC